GCATGAGGAAGCAACAACTGGTAATCTAAGCAGAAAAGGATTCTGTAATAAAATACTAGATCTGTCTCAGAAAATGGAAAACTGAGTTCAGATATTATGCTGTTATGACAAAATCCAAAATGAGACTGCTGCACTTTACCATGAAGTCATCACTGCCACTGGCACCTGGCACTGACCTTTATCCCTCTGCTTTCCCCCACTGGATGCTGCTGTGGGAAGCAGGGCCCTGTTGCCTCTGGAAACCAGGAGTGGCTGCGGTGCTGACACCTTCCTCCATCAGGATGTATTTTGCCAGGTGTTATGTAACGAATCATCACAAAAGTTGGTGGCTTAAAACTAACACACATTTATTTTGGCTGAGGACCTGTGAGTCAGGATTCAAGAGTGGCTAAAACTGTATGGGTCTGGTGCAGGGTATCTCATGAGGGTGTTTAAGATGTCAGCTGGGACTGGAGGATCCATCTCTAAAATGGCATCCTCGGGGCGCCGGGGTGGTTCAGTCGGTTAAGCGGTTAAGCATCTGACTTCAGCTCAGGTCATGATCTCACGGTTCATGGGTTCGAGCCCTGCATTGGGCTCTGTGCTGACAGCTAGCTCAGAGCCTGGAGCCTGCTTTAGATTCTGTGTCTCCCTCTCTCTCTGACCCTCCCCTGCTCGTGCTGTCTCTCTCTCTCTCTCTCTCAGAAATAAATAAAACATTAAAAAATAAAATAAAATGGCATCCTCAAATGAGGTGGCTTTAGTTCTTCAATGGCTATTGGCAGAAGACCTCAGCGCTAACCACATGGACCTTTCCACAGAGTTGCTTAAATATCCTAACATGTTAGCTGAGAGAGCGATCCAAGGGACAGTGAGAATAAGGTGAAAATTACATCATTTTATGGCGTACATTTGATATTTATTGTCCGTCATTCCTACCACATTCTATTGTTAGATGCCCCAGTAAGTACAGCCCAGACTCCAGGGGAGGGTAACTAGGATCCACCAAATGGAGGAGAATCATAGAAGTTTTGGACATGCATTAAAACCATCACAAAGTATTTTTTTTATTATTTCACAGAATTGGCCAAACCATTTTCCTCCCACATTCTTTCTATTCATATTTATATTATAATATGTCAGAAAATGTATTCTGATTTGAAGTTAAATTACCACACACCCTCCAGGGACATTTATTTTATCTGGTAAAAATCTTTCAGTGCTTAAAAAGCAAAGAACATTGCACTGGATAGCATCTTATCACCAAAGAAACATATTTCAACTGTAAATGAAATATTTGTCCTTTTGTTCAAACACCTGAACCCTACAGCATAAAGATTAACAGACATCAGTGCCTGGCTATCCTTACTGATGTGGTGGGAGGAAAGAGAATTTTGTAACTGAAGGTGCTTTTCTGAGAGCACAAAAATATTCTAGTGACACAAGTTTAAATGTTTTCGGTGGTCAAACAGGTAATAAAATGGTGAAGACTATAAGGAGTGGTAAAGACTGTGACATCCAAATTCAACTGAAAACAAACACACAAACAAAACAGCAGCAATACCAGGCTAGCCAAAGAAGATATCTCAAGTTCTCGGTTTGGCTTTCAGCTGCTAGCTTGCTCTTTCTGCTGACTCCAGAAGGTCTGACTTTCTTTGGAAATTCTGCTTCTAAATTCATTAGTTGTGGCACCAAAAAAGATCTTGGTCTATCTAATTCAACTTCTTCATTTTATAGACAGAAACCTGAAAAGGGGGACTTTAATTTTCAGGACCCCTTTCTCCATAAACACTATTAAAAATTATATTTTGTATGGTCATATAAAAATTTTAACTAAGGTAAGGAGAGACTTCATCCAAAATGACTTTATAAGGGACAATTGCAACAGGGAGAAAGCTTTAATCCTTAGATTGGTAAGCCTTTCAAAGTTAGGTGAAAAAAGATTTTTCTGTTCTAGGGATGGATAAACAATTCTGGAGAGAACAGGAAGTGAAGAAGTGGGATGAGCCAGAGTGGCATGATCTTACAGTGGCGAAGAGAAAGTTTTATCCAGAGCTCAGCATATTTTCACCTGGTAAGGAGCGGTTTATGCTGGTTCAGGCTGAGAGCATGTCAAAGTTTAGGGACTGGGAGAAAAAGAGAAGCCTAACCACAGCTTGGTCATGTCAAAGTGGCAGGTACTTTGTCCAGATTGATTAGTGAGCACATATAGTTCAGGGAATCACTTACAAGGCAAAGAATGGGAATTTGGAGGCCTGTGTCCAGCCTTGTCATAGATAAACAAGGTAAGTCTTATCAGTAAGGCAATTTTTTTTAATTTTAAAAAAATGTTTTATTTATTTCTGAGAGAAAGACAGCACTAGCAGGGGAGGGTCAGAGAGAGGGAGACACAGAATCTGAAACAGGCTCCAGGCTCTGAGCTGGTTGTCAGCACAGAGGCCGACACAGGGCTTGAACCCATGAACCGTTAGATCATGACCTGAGCCGAAGTCAGAAGCTTAACGGACTGAGCCACCCAGGCGCCCTCAGTAAGGCAAGTCTTAAAAGTCATTGGGGAAGGAAGATTCCTTCCTTCTCATCTCCTGGAAAACGAAGTGGAAAGAGTACTTTTACTGTTTTCTAGGATTACAGATTTGGGAAAGTCCAACACTGTCAATGACTGTATTGGCATAAAAACCAATAAATTAATATTATTAAAACTTTCCTCAACTTATTTTTTTCCTTTCCCCCCCCATTTTCATAGGTCCTAAAAATACCAAGGGCCCTGATCTGAGACTTAGCCTTTATGGTCACTGAGCTAGTTATGGCAGAGCTCATCAGAGGAACCACACCTGCATTTTTATGAAGACTGAAGGAGAAGGCTCTGCTCAAGAAATGAAAGGAAGACTTGTGGATGGTTGATAGGGATGGGGATATGAGCTCTGATGTAAATCCTGGAGACTTGTAAGGATAGGTGAGAAAAGTTCATTAAAGAAGTGGGGGATAGGGGTACCTTACCAGTGAACTGTTAGATACATATCATCAGGCCATAGTATTGATTTATTTATTTTAAACAATTTTTAAGTTAAAAAAATTAATTGGAGTATGACTGCTATACCAGTATCATATTAGTTTCAGGTGTATATCATAGTGATCTGATATTTTATACATTACAAAATGATCCCCACAAGTCTAATTCGCAACTGCACCATGCACAGTTATTACAATATTATTTACTATATTTGCTATGCTGCACATGACATCCCCATGGCTTTTATAACTGGAAGTTTGTACCTCTCAATACCCTTCATCTATTTCACCCAACACCCAATCCCTCCCTACTCTGGTAACCAGTTTCCTGTATCTATAAATCTGCTTCTGTTTTGTTTGTTTGTTTGTTTTTTGGATTCCATATGCAAGTGAAATCATACAGTATTTGTCTTTCTCTGACTTACTAATTATGTATCTACTATACTGCTGTTACTGTCCCCATCTACTGTCTTCACCTTTACTGAGCTTACAGTCAAGCAGGGGAAGCCAATGCAACAAATAATTGCAGAATGTTGTGACCAGTTTTATGAAAGGAAGTGAGGTATCTTGGGAACAAACAGCAGGAACAGCTAACCTGCAAGCGGGAAGTGACAATTCTGATGAACTAAGTAAGAATGGGAACTAACCAGGCACAGAGGATGATGGTGGGAAGACTGTCCTAGTCAGAGGGGCTTCACACAGTAAGATCCATGATATGTGAAGCCTGACCTCAGGGGAGACTTAAAACTTGTGATCTGACTAGATCTAACCAAACAGCCTTCCTTCTTGGGAAGCCAGGTATCCGTGAAAAGCTAGTGTGGTTAAAATCTTTCCCCACCAGCTTCCAGGAGCCTTAGAATCCAGGACTAAGCAGGGAAGCCTGGGTGGCTCAGTCAGACAAGCTTGGGACTTCCTCTCAGGTCATGAGCTCAGGTCTTGAGCTTAGGTCATGATCTAGGGGTTAGTGGGGGTCAGGGGGTTCCAGCCCATCCTGGGCTTTGTGCTCACAGCTCAGAGTCTGAGCCTGCTTGGGATTCTGTGCCTCCTCCCTCTCTCTCTGCCTCTCCCCTTGTACTCCGTCTCAGTGTCTATCAAAAATAAACAAATACTGGGGCGCCTGGGTGGCTGTCAGTTAAGCATCTGACTCAGCTCAGGTCATGATCTCCCAGTTCGTGATTTCATGTCCCTGGTCGGGCTCTGTGCTGACAGCTCAGAGCCCGGAGTCTGCTTCGGATTCTGTGTCTCCCCATCTCTCTCTGCCCGTCCCCTGCTCACACTCTGTCTCTCTCTCAAAACTAAGTAAAAATAAATAAATAAATAAATAAATATTTTTTAAAAATCCAGGGCTAAGTTGCCCATTGTATTTTGTAAGTAAAATAAAACAGCTGAGAAACCTCAGAAGAACAAAACGTCCATCCCATTTTTCTAAACTATCCAGTCTGTTGGTCCACTCAGTAGCGGGTTAGAATGCTGGTTCATGTTTGACTGCTGGTTTTCAATATAAAAATGAATTTCTCACCCATTCTCTAAACCTAGATTCACTCTCCTTGGCAGGGAGGATGCAGTAGTGACAGGACTTCCGCTCACCCCTTCTCGAAGTTTCAAGTCTGACAAGGCCGGCGCCTTGGGGTCCACGCCACGTGACCCACCTGGATTTTTCTCACTTCGTCTGAACTCCCTCCAGCGCTGTGGAACAGGGCACCTCAGAGGCAGCCGGCGGGCCTATTCCGGCCGCCGCCGCCGCCTCCCCAGGATCGGGGAGGGGCGGCAGAACCGCAGGCTGGGTGCGCTGAGCCGGCGGGGCAGCTGAGGCCGGAGAGAGCCAGTGCCGGGCGGGAGCCGGGAGCCGGGGGCCGGGGCGGGGCCGGGGCCGGGGCGGGGCGGGGCCGGGGCGGGGCCGGGTAGTCACCTAGGGCCTCCCGGCTGTCCAGCGGCTCCGCTGCCTGGCTGCCCGGACACCTGCTGCATCTCCTCCCTGCGGCTTGGGTAGGTTGGGCGTCCCTAAGGCACGGGTCAGGCTCCCCGATCCCAGGCGGTGGGTCTCTGACTGCCCCCGGCTTGGCTTGTGCTGTTGCTCGGCTTCCCGCCTTAACAGTCAGCGCTGCCGGAGTTTGGATACTAAGGGGCGGGGAAGAAAGGTGAGCGCGCGTAGCCATTGCTAGAACCTCTTATTTTGCTACAAGTTCTTGCACGTGGAAAATTCTCTGTTCCAATTCTGTCCAGATGTCGCATCAGTAGTGACCGAAGCCACGCATCTGTCAAATTGGTCCTTTCAGGTGTGTGTGTGAGAGAGAGGGAGGGGGAGAGAGAGAGAGAGAGAGAGAGAGAGAGCGCGAGCGTGTGTGTGTGTGTGTGTGTGTGTGTGTGTGTGCGCGCGCGCGCGCGCGAGGGGTGTTGAGGTTGGTAAGGGCCTCTGTATTGTATCCCTACAAGCGGTCCCGGCAGGCCTCTCCCGGAGACCTTTAGGGCCCCATCATTCATTACTGAGAGTTTCTTGGGACTGAGAAGTCGGACTTCTATGGAATGGAAATCGGTTGAATCAACAACAACAACAAAAATAAGTCCAGTGTCTGGGAAAAAATCCTATGGATGAGAGGCGCGCCGGAGTGACTCCTTGTAGACTCCGAGCATCTGGCGACAACCTCCTTGCCTTGCACCTATGGCTGAGCCAGTAATAAAAACTGCGGACCCAAGACTTTGACACTTGCAAAGCTGGACAAGGGACAGGAAAATAAAGCGGTGGGAGGGGGAAGATGTCTGCACTGACAAAAATCTGGAAACATTGAAGGAGTAGGAATACTCCCTTTGGGGCCGGGTGCTTCCTCATTCCACTTTCCTCATACATTATAGCATTTTTGTGTGCATTTCTAAACAGTTGACTAAATACAAACAGAACACTGTCTATAGCAAGATGAACTTTTTCTTCCTTCCTTTCCAGGTTTTATTCTAAATGAGTTCAAGGTCACCTATTGGAGGCTAGGTCAACAGTTAGGAATACTTTTACCCGAGGAAAGAGTTAGAAACTTTTGTTCCTTTCATCCTCTTTCCCTCCCCATCCCCACCTCCCTTTCCCAGCCTCCTTACTCATCAACTCTGCCCCCCCCCCAAGATTAAATGCACTAATCCCCTCCTCTCCTTAATTCTTACCACTTAAAGGCCTGGGGTGAAGAAGGCAACCAACTTTGTCATGCAAGTACTTGTTAATTTGGTCTTGTGACTTCTTGTTCCTTTGCCCTCTAGTTCCTACAGTATTAAAATGCACCCATAGTGTTTTCTGTAAAGAATACAAAGGGCTAGAGAAAAAAAGCAAACTGTCCCTGAAGTGATCTAGTAAAGGGATTATTATTTTTTTAAACCACAAAACTGAGACTCTGTTGAATTCCCGTATTTTTACCTCTTTTTGGAAAGATATTTTAAAATTATAATTATATTATCAATAAAAAATTAGCTGTTAAGCCTCTCCCTATGGGTAAAATCTTATAGTAAACAGTCTTTACCCAATGGAGTGAACACTTTAGAAGTCTGTGTTTCCAGTTTATAGAGGCCAGCTGGAATAGAGGTGTATTTAAATTATGAAATAACTTCATGGAACCTTGAAAACAATGGTATTAGAAATATTTGAAGGTTTCAAGATTGCTGAATTCAGCTATCTTTGTGGCTTGGTAATTCACTTATTCTTTCTATTATTTAATAATGTTACTCACAGTATGTGGCATCTCTTATTAATAATTCTGTCAGTGCATTTTAAAGGGCATCTCTGGAGCCCTGTACTAAATATATATTTATTTTTTCCTAGATTCAGTTCTGCTCTAGGTAGACTGAATTAGAGGCAAGAAGATGATATGGGGATCAGGATTAAAAGAATTAGTGCACTAAGTTCTCGTACCAGATCATCTCTGAAGCCTTCTGGGCCAAATTAACTCTGGGGTCTCAGCAAGTCCTTTAACGTATGTGTGTCATTTTATCTTCAAAATAAGATTGTCTTTGGTCTTAAAGGACAGTTAGGTCTCCCAACTCTTCTATAAAAGGCAAATCCTCATTTCTAGAGCAAGGTATCCCTGATCTAGAGGACTGTCTCTTCTAGAATTTGCCTACATTTCCAGGAAAAATCCTAGCATGCTGGGGCCCCATCCCCACTTAAGCAGTGTAGTGTAGTGTAGTGGTTGAGGGCGAGAGTCTTAGAAACTGAGGAATCTGTTTCTATTTCCTAGTGCTGATCCTGAGCAAGCTACTATGTTCTACAAGCTTCATCTTCTTCCTGTTTAGAGTACAGATAGATGGTAATAAGGCCTGGGATCATTATGGAGATCAAATGAAGTGATGCATATCATATAAGTAGCAAAGTGTCTAAACTTAAAAGTCAATAAATTATAGGTACTTTTTTTTCAACACTGAATTCCCCTCTTCTTTTTCTTTTAACAAGATGAAATTTAACCTAGAAAAATATAAGATCCTACACATGAGTGTTTAACAAGTAAGCAAGTATAGGGTGAGGGAGTTGTAATTAATTGAATCAGTCAACTTCAGAAATTAGAATGAACATCTATAGCCAAGGATATTTTTGTACATCTGCTTTTTGCTTTGTGCAGACATTAGAGTTACACTTGGGATGGTCACTTATACACTGACTGGGTGGGGTGGGTGGCGGAGTTGAACAAAGGAGAAAAGAGAGACACCTCTTGAAGCTTTATCACATTCATTCATAACTAATACATTAATACTTCGACTTTTCCTTCAATATGTTTTTACCTCTTGATATATGTAAAACGCCCTGCCAGCAGAATGCATGGGTAAGAGACAGGTTTCTGCCTTCTAAGCATTCATAATATAGTGTAGGAAACAGACACAGCAATAATTAGAGCACAGTGATAAGTAATCTGATAAAGGTAGCGTAGGGAATGCTGGGGAAAGAGGCATGCTAAATATCAGCCAGAGGATACTCAAAGGAGTTAAAATTTAGTTCCAGTTTGGAAGATTCCAGTTTTGTAGGAGTATGCCAGGTAGAAATGCTGAGAAAGAGCTTTCTGGGCCAAGGGAGAAATTTGTTTGGAAGTCTGACAGGGTGAGAGAGCACGACAGACATAAATCATGGCACACTGTTCCCATGTTGTGCCCCATCCTTTATGGGCTATAGGACATGGGCAAATTATTTTGCCTCTCTGAGCTTTAGTTTTCTCAAATGTAAAATGAGGATCATATATTGTTTTACATTATCAGACACTGATTTACTCTTCAAGTCTCTCTAGCTGGAGGTCTACCTTACAATTTTGCTGGAAGACTTAGTTGCATATAAAACAAGAGGCTGTCTGATGTACAACTGACAATCACCTGATAAGGTTCTATCATTTCCTTCTCTTGAGTACAGAAAATACAACACTACCCTAATCTAGCCTTGAGTGTAGATGGCATTTATGACTTCCACGCATATTATAAAAAGTCAACTGGGGCACCTGGGTGACTGTCAGCTCAGGTCATGATCCCATGGTTTGTGAGATCAAGCCCCATACTGGGCTCTGCTGACAGTGTGGAGCCTGCTTGGGGTTCTCTCTTTCTCTCTCTTTGCCTCTCCCCCTTTCTCACAAAATACATAAATATTTTTTTTTAAAAAAGCAGACCAAGTAATGTTGTAACTGTTCTTACTGTTTTGAATAAAGGATGAACTTCTATATGCTTCCACTACCACTAACTACCCTAATTCTGCAACCTCATCAGACTTTCCTTCATCGCACTTAAGGCAGTGTTGCTAGCCTGTTTTAAGGTAAGCTTCTGTAAAGGGAGTTCCACCCACACTGAGAGTTCTTTGCTGGCAAAGGTCAGCATTCCTATATTTGCAGGACAGGATCTCAGACACTTTAGTCCCTCCTGGAGGCTTACTGTTTTAGTTTAAGGTACTGAAATGCATCTTAGCAAAAATTTATATGGGGAGGGGATATTGAAAATTGGTTATTTATTTTGGAGTACCAAAATGCAAACTGAACTTTTTGGGAGGAATTTGTTACAGGATTTTAAACCCTTGTGACTTTTCCTTGGTATTGCTAACTTTAAAATCCTTTTAAATTTGGTACTTTTTCTCAAAATCCAACATGATCATGCATGAGTTGTCCCACTTTCCCCACAAGGATTTCAAGCTTCAGAATGTTTTGTTATAAATCCATACAAAGCAGGATATTTTTCCACAAGCCATTTAGACCATAATAGACAACAAAAGGATTTAACTACTTTCAGTTTCAGTCATTATAGGGAAAAATAGTTGTTGGGGTCAGGCTAGCCCTGTTTGCTATGGAGGGCCCACATCGGGCCAGGGATTGGCATTCTCACTAGGCCATATAGACTAGGCCCTGAGTAAGAATTTTTTGAGGGAATTGATGTTTTCAGTCATTCATTTACTGAATATTACTTTGATTTCATCAATTAATTTCAATATTTCATTAGCTGTGCTGTGCATAGGGGATGCTGGATTTGATTTAAGTTCCTTAGCCTCAAGTGTAATAAGAACATCGTGGAGAGCTAGTTAAAATTCGAATTTCTGGACCTTATGTCTTAGAGGTTCTGATGTATCACATCTAGCCTGAGGCCCAGGAATCTGCATCTTAATAAGCCCTGTGATATTGCTGGTATTGATGGATGCTTTTTCTTATTTTAGCCAGTGTTTTTCCACATTCATGTACACATTTACAGGCACTCTTCGGAGAACAGTGTAGTCTATCTAAGCCTTGTCATTATTGTTCAAGTGTGTAAACAGTTCCAAACTCTACTCCACTCCCTGACTTTTAACCAAGTCAACTTACTTACTGGTTGTCATTAAAAAAATTTTTTTTAAAATGTTTATTTATTTTTGAGAGAAAGACAGACCACGAGATAGGGAGCAGGGCATAAAGAGAAGAAGACATAGGATCCGAAGCAGGCTCCAAGCTGTCAGCACAGAGCCTGACATGTAGCTGGAACTCACAAACCGCGAGATCATGACCTGAGCCAAAATCAAGAGTCGGATCCTTAACTGACTGAACCACTCAGGTGTCCTTTAATTCATAAAATAGGGAGTTGAATTTCTAGAATTTTCCACCCTGTTCCTTAATTTGATGCTTTTCTCTCTTTGGATATGACATCCAGATTAAGAGAATCACAGGTAAAGACCTTT